AGTCTGTTCAGTGCTTGTGGTAGAGTGCTAGCATTTGTCTAACACACAGAGGGTGTTGGTAGTAGTGTATCTGCAGTGAGCTGAGGGGAGATCTTGGTGTCGTTTCTCAGATCTTCTCTACAACAAGACCCACTTTGCTGGACATCGTAGCAGAGAGTATAAGAAAATATTCATCACAGTTTTAAAAAAAGTAGTGAGGACTGACTTGTCTCCACGGTGTTTCATGAACACTCCTTTGTAATCCATCAGAGAATACTCCAAGTGAACTGGCAATAGTAAATACAAAATAGTAGAAGAATTACCATCTAACGGAGTGTCTGCAGCATGTTATGTCAGGATGGTGAGATGGGGGATTTTGGGTTTCTGCCTGAGGAAAGGAAGCTTCTTTACGAGTCTCCTTCTGTTCTAAAGCAAAGGCACTGTCTTAGTGACACAGATAAATGGAGCGCAATATGTACACCAGAACATTCCAGTTTTGCTGTCTAATAGGGCCCATAGTGGATTATGCCTTGAATATTAAATATATTTTTGTAGTGCTAAGTGAGGATTTGAATTGCATGTATGATTTTTTTTTTCCTCTGTCAGAACTTGTGTTTTAGGAAGAGATGCATTGCTTTAATTAGAAAGCTAAGAATGAGTGAGGAAGCAAGCAGAGGAAACCACTGGTTACATATGAATATCAGTACATAGGGTGGTTGAGACACTTTTTATATGTGGCATCCTAATAACTTGCTCTTAGGTTAGAAACTGAGCCTCAGATAGTTGCCAAAAAAATTGCTGTCTGTCTTAGGAAAGGAAATAATTACAACTTTTGTCATATGGCTAGCAGGTCCTGATAGGCACATTCTTTTGAAATTTTAATACCTTTTCTTTTTATACATTTCCTTTTTAATTAGCTTGCTTTGTAGGCTCCTGTGGCCAGATCTTGATGACTCCTTTAAGGATTATTTTTGATTTAAGATAGCAAATTCAACTGCAAAACTGTTGGAGAAAATAACCCACACTGTTTTCTGTGTACGTAACTTTTTGTTCTCTCTCTGTGTCTTCCTGCAGTCATTGAATAACTCTTCTGACCTAACCTGTTATTTATATCTTATATATTAATATAAATAGCAAATAATGAAATATTTATGGTTTGGCTCTAGATGAGGAGAGAGACTAATTTTCTTCACTCTCTTCCCTTTCCTTACAGGGTATAAAAATGGTAACTAGAAGTGGTTCAGAGAAGACAGAATTTTTTTAATCTAATTTGTCTTTATGGACCATATTTGGATCCAGATTGGATCCAGTTGTATGTGCAGCAGCGCATTGCATTGTTTTTTCCTAGCGCAACTACTGGATGTGGAATTTTCAGCTCAAGAATACAGAGATCATGACTTGAATTTCTTCTGAATCGTGGAGTATTAAAAAAAACTAAAATGAAGAAATCCAACCAGTTATTTTTATAATCGTTGAAGTGTTTTCATGTATCTTGTGATTTCAGAGGGATTTTAGTGTGCATTTCCTTCTAACCTCAATACACTGTGTAACCATGAAGTCTAAAACACGTTCTTTAAAAGAGAGACCCAGGAGCTTGTTATGAAGTTGCTGGTAAAGGTGAGGTGGGGCAGGGAAGGAGTGAAGTATCATACTTAATATAATGACAATAGGAACTAGCAACACTGAAGAGTTCCTCTTCTGTTTTTTTTCATTGTGATTCTTCCTAACACAAACTAAACCAGTCAGACCTTTTGGATTCTAATATCATTCACAGAAAAAAAGGAAGATATAACCTCTTTTGCTTCTTACAAGAGATCTTTTTTCCCAAAGGTGTCTTTTTGTTGTGCAGCAAGGCTTCAATTGACTTTTTTTTCCCTTGTGAATTTTGCTTTTGAAATTGAAAGTGTTGCTTGGGACAGGTTCTATTAGCATCAGAGGCTTCTTGCTCTCAGAACTGGACTCTATTTTATAGCTAATATCACCTTTAAAATGGGTGAATAGAAAAGCCTTATACCAAAGCCTTAGGAGCTAACCTGCTTTTGTGCAGAAAGGAGAATGAAATTTCCCTTTGTACCACCTAGGAAGGAAATGCTTCCTTACATTGTAGTTAATTTCAGTTGAATGTAGCAACAGCAGCAATGCTTTATCTGGGAAGCAACTTTCACAGATCCCAGCTGACAAGCAGTAGGTCTCTCTTCTTTCTCGAGCTCAGCAATGGTGCTCTCATGCAAGCATGCAAAAGAGTGTCAAGGAGTCTGCCAGGCTCTGCTGCATTAGAAACCCACCTTTCCAGGGAATTAAAACACCTTAAAACCCCTGAACTTCCTTCTGGTGACACTTTGCTCCTTCTTACCCTTAGATCCTGAATAGGACTTAAAACTTCAAGTTGAGATCAAGCTTCAAGGCATTAACTTACAAAAAAACCACCCCAAATTTAATGAGAATTCTTGGCTTTTTGTAGCTGAGAGCAAGTGTGGTGTGCCTAACATTCAGAGGAAATGCATCTTCAGCTTGTTGCTGAAAGAGAGGGGGAAAAATAAGCCAGCTGTTGCCATCATGTCCTGGACATCTTAATTCAACACGTGGGGTTTTCATAGGATACTGGTGAAAACACTGCAGAATAAAGAGAGCAAGGAAGAGAACAGAATGGTATTGATGAACTTACTGCAATGTGTGAGAGAACAGATGATATGAGCCAACCTGACTCTTTCTTGTGGGTCTTAATTACAGGCAAAAACCACAGCTGGTCTGTGTTTTTTCTTTGAAAATGAAGAGGAGAATGGAGAGGGAAGGGGAAAAAGAAAGAAAGGAGGAAAAAAAAAAAAAATTGCAACCATGCAGTTTGGTGGTTCTTACTTTTCTAGGAATGCCAGAGAGGCTGCAGTGTGTCCCTTCATCACCTTGGTCTTGGTTGTTGAGGCAGATGTGAGACGAGAACAATTATGTCTTTTTTTTTTTTTTTTTTTTTAATTCTTTATTATTCTTTCTGGAGGAGTAAAAAAATTATTAAAGAGGAACCTTTCTGGGTTTATGGCAAACACTGACAGTACATAATTTCCCTGGTAAGGAAAAAGCACATTTTCATACCTGTTGTTAAAATGGCATCAATTTCTAAGAGGCCGATTTAAATGCAACTGGTATGGTTGCAGTAGGACTGCACTTCATGATACAGTCTATAGTTGCAAACCCATGTAAGCACTGGTAGAAAAATACTTAGGCAAGGAACAAATATTAATATTTTTCTTAAAAAAAACATGGCAACCCACTAGCTCTTGTTTGCTCTTACGTGTGTGCAAATATGATGCATACATAAAAACTTTATATATACAAAGCAATGATTTTCTGTTCTTCCAGGTAGAATACTTCTGGCTTCTTGGTATCCTAGTTAGTCACTGTCTAGCAGAGTATTGTAATAAAAAGCAGTGAACAGAACATGCTCCTTTATGGACATAAACAACAGCATGTAAGCATAAAACTTGCCTTTAAATAAATGTGTGTCCTGATGCACTTCTGAAATAATTTTTGAGGAGGAAAGATCCATTAGTGATAAAATTACTGTAGGGACTATTCCGGCTAATGTTGCAAATGTTATTTCCACCTTTATGCTAGTAATGTGGTAATGACTATAGGATTCTTGTCTTTTGAGAAATCTACAACTGTCTGTTCAGTCTGAGCAAAGCATTTAGCCAGTTGTGTATATTCAGTGAAGGCCACAGAAAGGACACAACTTCCTGAATATAAAACCACAGAGTGCAAATATTGTGCTCTAGATAACACACCACTTACTGTAAATGTCAACAGAGGGAGTTTTTCTGATTTTGATTTAGTGAGAGCCTATAGCAAAGCCAGCTGCTAACACTTCTTAACTGCTTGTCATTGTGAAGGGGGGAGCATCATTTCTTCACACTTTTGTATTTTGATTAAAAGAGGGAAACAACTTTTCAAGCACTTCCCAACAGGTGCAGAACCACAGCATTAAAACTGTATATGCAAATGGATTTTCACAAGTAAAAATCTGCATGTGCAGGTCAGGTTGCTTGGTTGCCAGCGTGCATGTTGAACTTTAGGCCGATGTACCGTTTCAGAATTGCAGACCTTGATGAAAGTTACCATTGTGTTCAGATTGGCTGACAATACACTAAGGAGTCCAGTCTGTGGTAACAGGCAGGAGTATTTCCCTATAATCAAGTATTTTGAGGAAAGCGCAGGTCTAGAAAGGAAGTTTTTGCAGCAGCTCTTATTCCTGGTAAAAAATTAGGTGCTAGCACTAGTCTTATGTGTATGAGCTGTTGCATAATTGCTAGATGTATTGTTTCCACTTATTCTTTCTCTCCTAGTACAGTAAGTACTCTTAAAATGAAATACGTTTGAATTGAAAATTAAAAGGGATGGCAGAAAGAGGGAATAAGCTGGGTTTGGTTGGTGAGTTATATAACACAGGGAATCATGTTTTGGCTGAAGTATTTTCTCAGCAAAGGCAGATGTATTGGAGCATATGGAGGCAGACTACTGTAGAATTTAATGGTGTATATTTCTACTTATGTGGAAGTATATACATAGTTCTAATTTTAGCATTGTCACCTTCAGTGTCATTTTGCTTTTACATTCCTTTTTGGGTTGCTGTAGCCTATGGCCTAGAGTTTTAAGACTGGCTTTTCTCTGTGTGGTTTTAAATTTTAAGAAGTGTAATTTTTCAGAGTAGACGTCTACATTACAGCAGAAACCATACTAAAAATCCTCTTGAAAAAGATGAGGAAAGGTGAAAGGAGAGAACGAAACATTGAAAATACCATGTGCTTCACTTCTTCTGTGCAAAATAAAAGAGAGATTAAAATAAAATCTGCAGTTCTTCCGCTGCTTTTGCGTAATCAAGCTACTTTGTGTACTTGAAGTCCTTACAAAGGCTGACACATGTCTAGCCCTTCAAATGAAGTGAAGTTAAAGGATATTTTATTTTAGCACAAAATATTGTTTACATTTTCACTGTCTTCCACTTGTCTCTCCTTCTTTCCCATTTACAGCTTCTGCAATTCCAGATAATGGAAGGAGATCCTGTCTAAAGCTTAAAGTTTTTGTGCGACCAGCAAGTAAGTTCTTGAGATTAAGCTTTTGAGGGTGGCTTTGTAGCGCATGCTTTACTGTGTGGTCTAATAAACAGCAGTAAATCTTTTCTTTTTTTTTTTTTTTTTTTTTTTTTTTTTTTTTATTAACTGTTAGATCTTGTGTGTCTGTTCTGTATAGCAACATCTGTGTTATTTTCTTATCATTTTTCATAAGGCTTTGTTTTAATTACAAAGCAGTCGCTAACTTGTTGTTTCTTAAACTGTTGTAGAAATAGAAGACTACACTGGCATTTGGGCAAGTGCCACAGACTTTAAGATATAAATATGCTTATATATATAGTAAAGGAAAAAAGGAGAGAAAAAAAAGGGAAGTGGGGAGTTTAAGGGTGTTTCACTAACATATTTGGCTGTTATCTCTATTTTTGTTATAGACAGCTGTATGAAAACTATAGGTGTTCATGATCGTGTTTTCGATGTTAACGACAAAGTAGAAAATTCATTAGAACCAGCAGGTTAGTATGCTTAGAGAATCTCTTTTAACAAATACGTGTATCCTTCTGGTGCTTCGGTACTTTTTTCTTCTTTCTGCATGCTTTGCATGGTACAACTGCTCTGCTTTTGCACAGTTCTAGCAGTGCTGATATTACTTGTGATATATTCTCTCTGTCCTGGCTTAATGCAGAGGAGGAAAAGTGTTGTTTTATTTGTCTCTTGGGTGACATGGTTTAATAAATATGGTGTGTGCCAGTGTGAAACTTTCACCAATATCCTGAAGTCACTGGCCCATCCATTCCAAACAACCAGCATCTTAGCAAAACGCTATTAACTGCGCCCCAAGTTTTAGAATTAAATTAAATGGGCACACATCATTTATTATGTGGTTTCAGAAGACTTTCAGAAGAAGAGAACCACTGTTTAATGCTGTTGCATGATACAAGCATGCAGCTGGCAGTGTCTAAGTAAGAAATCAAGTCCTTTAAAATTATATACGTTTGTACATATACACACAAAGAGTGATGTAAATTCCTATCCTTTTTTTCACTGAAGCAAACAAGTTTTGGGGTGGCTATTCTGTCTTTTTTGCAAAACACTGTTTTAATAACAACAATAATGCTTGCTATGATAAAGCCCCACATCTGCCCATGGCAAAGTTACATTAACCTCCACCATGATGTCTCTGTGTGGAAAGTGTGTATGTATTGTTTGTATGGCTGAGGTTTATGACAGGTAGAAGCATATTCCATTCTAGGAGTGTGAGTGATCCCACCAGCTTCAGTTGGGATGGTTCATGACATTGAAATTAGGTAGATATGCAGGAAAAGTATTTGCAGTAGTAGTACTACCTGTTTGCTTTATATGTACCTACAAGCTGCACACACATTGTTGTGTTCAAGCTTCAATAATTAAAATACACAGGCAAATAAACAAATTATAACAGAAAAAAAATTACATACACCATTTAGTTCGTACCCCGAACAGATTACCAAGATTTTTTTTTTTTTCCTCCTGTTGTTGGTTTGAAAAATGGATCATCCAAGTAATACTCGATCTTAGTGAACTTGCTGAGCACTTTTTTTCGGCACTGGTGCTCACTTCCCATTCTGTGACTATACATAACTAGCACCATCAGAAAAGCACATCATTAGGAATCAGAAGGCAAACCAGGGAACCAAAGTTACACAGAGAACATCCTGCAGTTTGCAATAAAGTACTGTTCATGTTACCAGGAGGAAATAATAGCTTTAATGAGAAGTTTAGGTACCAGACCATTCACCATAGATAATCAGTCATTACCAGAACTGCTGACTGCTGTTACACTTTTCTGTTCTTATCCCGTTAGATTTGCTGCTGCCTTGGTGGATCTTGTTGCATGTGGTCTGTGTCATGTACTAATTTACCTGCCTCTGAGGTGGATCTTCTGCTTCTGTGCTCTCCCCTAACCTGCCACTGTCTTCTTCCACAGCAGACAGAAGAATTGGGAGGCAGGAGGGTCATGTTCAACAGATTACTTACTGTCACCTTTATTTTAAAAATCACCATTTCCTTCATTTATGAACCCTTGGAATTCCACTGCTGTTGTTCAGGAGTTTGTGGGAAACTGGTCTATAGAGATCACACTTGTTTCAGAAGTGATGAAAGTAATTTGCCATATTCCTGTCCTCTCCTTCTCTTCCTCCTTAATAATAAAAATTAAAAGTCACTGAACAAAAATCACAGCTGAGAACATGTGGAAAATTATACCTGAAGCATATGACATAAAGCTCTGTGACCTGGAACATTCATGGCTCTAAAAATACGGGGTTTTTTTCTAATTACTGCTGGTATTCCCAGTCTTTAGCACTGAACTTCCAGATTTTACTCAGGAATTTTGTCCTTTTCATCAGTCGCCTTCAGTGTTTATAATCAAGCAAAACCTTTTCCCCAAGCATTAAAGACTGTGCAGTGTTATAACTCCGCACCTCCAAGGAAAATTAAATTTGTAAAATGGTTATGAGAACCACAGATGAATTGTGTGCTCTAATATGCAGGTGCAGAAATCTTGAGACTGCATTAACAGAAAACTCGGATGATTTCTTGAAAGGAACCTCTTAATGTTATGTGCAAATTAATACTTCTGTGAATAGTGGCTTTGTAAAAGTGACATCACAGAAGATCTCTATTTTACATTTTAAGAGAAGTCATCTTTTTAGTTTAGGGTTTCTTTTGCTGATTTGTTTTTTAGCAGTAGCCAGTGTTCCAGTCATGGCAGTATCGGATAGTCAAAGAGAATGAGGATTTATTACTGCTCTACACTCGTTCTGCTGTACTGTGTTTTAGTGCTGACTCACAGATGTAATTAGGGCAAAATTGTTAACATTCGATGTTGCGAATTCAGACTTATTTGCAATTCTGCTGATGATGGAAGAGGTAGAAGGTAATGTGCATCATACTCCTCTGTAGTTTTAGTTCATCAGCAGTGAGTAAATGTTTCCAAATTGTGAAGAGATGACTAAATATATAGCAGGAGATAGAGCTGACAGTTAGAACAGGGATATTTTTCCCCCATAACGTCTTGGAGTATGATTTAATTGGGAAGCTGCTCTTCTGAGGTACTGTATTCCCACTGCAGCATCACCAAAGCACAGGAGTGAAATTTTAAACAGCTTTTGGTACTGACAGCCAGCCACTGGTACTAGCACCTTTCAGTAGCCAGCATTCACTGAAATTTTTAGATTCCTCTGGAATAATTCTGGAAGAAAAATACTGGGGTATTGTTCAGAGCTGAAGTGCCTGGCAGGATCTCCCTGCTGTACATGGTGAGAAGCTGTAACCAAAGTGATTCCAGCCAGTCTTTCCCACTGACATCAGTGGGACTTTCATTGGATGATGTCCATTTCTTACAAAGTGAATGTATTTACAGCAGATCAGTGCTTGCTGTTCATACTTTTGCCTTGAGCAGCACTGAAGGCCTGTTGATGAACCTGACAACTGTAGCATCAAGCAGTGCTGGAAAACAAAACAAAAAAAAAAAACAACAAAAAAAACCCCAACAAACAATAAATTGCTTATCCAGCTCACAGTGCGTCTTGCTGTGTATCTGAGTGGGGTCTGAAGAGCCTGTTAACCTAAATTATGCTAAGTACTCGACCTGCTTTTGTGCAAAGTGTCAAGGGTGTGAATGCGAGGAATCTTTGTTTCTGGCTAGAGCTAAATAAGGTGAAAGGCTGTGCCCAAGCAGTGTGGTGATCCCAGTGTCCTGAATCTCTCTCCCTTTGGTGCCTTTAATTGGAACTGCACAGCTCTCACCACATGTAATGCTGGCAGTGCAGTTTGTTGAGATGGGAGCTACAGGACAGATACATCATAGTATATGTCGACATCTCTCATAAAGTTGGGGAGCTTATTACACTAAGTAGTGAGATAACATTAATTTTCCTGGAAACCTAGGCACGCTAAAATAGCTTAGGAATATATTTTGAGACCACTTCACACTTCCTGAACAGGTCTAGCTTATTTCATTCATTTAGTACTTAGAAAATTCAAACCCAGAGCTGACTTTTTATGGCAAGCCTCAGACAGTTTACTTTTAAAATAACTAGATGAGATAGCTGTGGATGGAGAGGGCTTTGCAGAGAAAAATACCACACCTATAACAATGCTGGAGTTGAATATGCCTTTACCTACCATTTCCGTGTGTTACAAGCTACGGCTTTAAGGCTGATCTTCAGTTTACAAAAACTAAACAGAGGTTTATTAGGTATCATAAATTTGGAATTTGCCACTGTTTTCTTCTGCCACTAATGTATAAGCATGTTTTCCCAACTCAGCTGGTTCTTTTTTTCTTTAGTCTTAGCAAGATGTGTGTAAATCTGTATTTTGTGTACCATAAAAGGTAGTTGGCTACCTGTGAGATTTTCCAGACCGAGTGTGTGTTCTATAAAATCAGAGATGGTCATGTGTTAGCCTTTAAAATTCTGTTTCAAGAAAGGGAGACTGGACTTACGTCCGCTGTGTGCATCTCCAGATGTTGTATACCTCAGTGAATATTTTATGCGTGGAAGTGGAAAATGTGCCTGGGCTTACATGCTGTCATTTCAAATTCAGGAGCCAAAATCTGTAACTCGGTAAGAGGATTAACCACGAAATTAATTCTAAGCACGTGCAACTGTTCTTCAAGCCCTTTTGAAAATCAGGTGTTTTTATTTAGCTCCCTCCCTATTGACATCGCTATCTAATGAGCCATCCACAGCTGGAGCTACAAGGCTTTATTAGAAGAGGAATCCTTCCTTCCTCAATCTGCTGAAATCAGACTTACTTTCTGCTCCTCCTGTCTTCGGTGGGAGTTCTGCCAGTAAGAAGTGCAGGACTTGGCCCCAAGTCGGTTACATAATGAGGTATTACACGCTGGTGGGAGTCCATGACAGCACAAGGTTCATTGCCCTATTTCAGAAAGGCACTGAAATCTACTTACGGTTGTCGGCTCAGTGAGAGTTTATTAAGGATGCAAAATCTCATTGGAATGTGTGCTTTCTGTTTGAACAGATGATACCGTACACGAGTCAGCCGAGCCATCCCGTGGCGAGAACGCGGCACAGACACCAAGGATACCCAGCCGGCTTCTGGCAACTCTCGTGTTCCTCCTGGCAGTGCTTTTGATATTATAGCACAGTATGCTCCGGCAGCCTGTCGCAGAAAATATCAGGGTCTTGGAACATCAAAGATCCACCTAACTGCTCATCCCAGGAAAGGGACTTTATTGTTTTTGCAGATGTCAAATTGTTATTTTTCCCTTTTCCCTTTTTTTTTTTCTCCCTTTTAGCCTGAACTCAGCAAAAATTTGAAGGGGATAACTAGCTTCAGCACCCGTCCCTACCTACCTTGTGACTTTCTTAACCCCTCCATATAAATAAAAGGACTCCAAATGAAAATGCCAAACTATAATAGTGACACTAGTGATTCTTATTTTCCTCTGCATTCTCCTTTAAGAAGTCACCTCTGCTAGCTCACTGTGTCATCCTTATGTGGACAAGGAAGAATAGTGGCAGATGCAGTCAGTGAAGGATAAGAAGAGTAAGTGAAAGCCTGGGAGAGTTTTTCTCTCTGATACAATATTTATGCCTTCTCATTCAGCACTATAAGATGATCATGCAAGGCATTGTGTCACCATGTCAGTACTGGAGGGGAGATATTAAGAACAGATGTAATACAACACTGTTTCCTTCAGGAGCTTCTAAATGAACAGGCTTCTGAAAGGGAAAGATGATGTTTCTCATACGACTGTCTTGAAACATCCTTGACAGTAGAATTTGTGCACACGAGTAGAAATGCTGTCTTTGGTGGGAGGAGGAAGTTAGCTAGTATTATTAGGAGTGTTAGCACACAGCAGGCAAGGTCAGATTTAGGAAATTTCACTGGGGGTGTGAGTGCCTCTGTTATTTCGTTTTAAGGGGATAATGCACACCGGATTATTTTATTTTGAAACAAATCACCGTGGTGCTACAATTTTTTTCTTGAAATGCAGAGGCACTTTTGAGAATGAAGTGACCTTCCCCAGCACTGACTTAGTAGCTGATAGCCTTGGATGCTGCTCTGGGTGTTAGGACATCAGTGGCCAGAGGAAACATATTTGGGACGCAGGATCTCCAGGGTGCTCTTGATTTGTCTCTCTTGCAAGTTCTTCAGTCATGGGAATAAATCACATGTAGAAGAAGCCAGGACAGTCTAGTAGCACTGTTTGGTAAGGGGAAAGAAAAGAAGCGTGGAATATGAATTCAAGTGTTGATTTTTTATCTTTTCCCCTTCCAGCGCAGTTTGAAGAGTAGAGGAAACGTGTTTATCGTCCAGAGATAAACTAGATGGGCTCCCAAAGACTTAACAAAATATTTTTTTAAAAAATCCACTAGAATAGAAAATACATTATTTAGATATACTTTATGCTGAGAGTGAGTGTATATGCTTGTCCTATTTAAACATGTGAGAGAAGTGGTAACCCTTGATGCAATTAGGAAAAGGGACTGTCTTGTTTGATGGAATTGGGAGTGACCCTGTTAAAGGAATCTAAGCCTTGGCTAACACAGAACTTTAAAAAGTCATTTGCCAGGAAGTGCAAAACTTGGGGTATTTTTTAGCTAGGCTGCCAGGAAATTTGGACTGCTAAGCATAATCAGGGAAACACCATACCAAGACTGAAACAGAGCTTTTCTAGCAAAAACTGTGATGGTTTTGTTAAATGTGAAACAAAAAATAGAGTGCATTCAGGAAAAAAAACAAGAGTTGTCCATACTAGTTTTGAAGAAAAGGTCTACTGTAACAAAATTGAGAGATGCCATTAATGAACAGCAATTTGTGGGCTTTGTTTTTTTTTAATGAAGAGAAGCTTTCCAGACGTTGAAGCAGCCAACTATTCAAAAAAGGAGAAAAGGGGGAAATAAATATAACATGCAAAGGGAGATCTATGCATGCTAAACCATGATCTGGGCTTGCCTGGTGTCGTCTGGCATGGTTGTTAGTGCAGGGCCTGTGCTGACAGAAGGAGAGTGGGAAGTTTCCTGTAGCACGAGGTGCACACAATGGCGATACACAACCTAAACAGTGAGGGGAGTCAACGTCGTGTCCCAGCCTCTCTGGGACTTTTCTCTCCTTAATGTGGATGTGCTTGGTACACACAGTAATGCTTCCCGTAGGTAGGAATTAAGCTTTGGATGAGGTGAGCTTCATCAGGATGCACCTTATCAAATGGATTATTAACCAAAGTACAGATAATACTGCATGACAGGTAACCACATTAAAATGATTCACAGCAATTGCAGGCAGTCGTACCAGTAGCACCCACTTCATGCAGAAATGGTGACTTCATTTTTCTTTCCTTTGTCTCTGAATGACCTCAGAGTTCAAGAATTAGGTTTATCCACAGCAAAGCATTTTCACTAGTGTTACCCGTGGTGAAATTCTCCCCTTCATTTTATCACAGAACCTTGCTGGGTAGATGAGGAGCAACACAAGTGGTGCAGCGGCGAGACGGGTCTGTGCACTGCCCGGTGTGGAGTGGCTGGGGGCGTACCAGACACCGTCAGTTCTATACTTGGTGGCATCAGTCAATCCCAGTCGTACCAAGGGCATAAATACTGATGGGCTTTGTGTTGTGTGGCAAATTTATGGGTGTTTTAAATGCAGGTATCAGTGCAAATTAAGAAGATTTCTGCTTCCTTCCCCCTTATTTGCCCCAGCTTAAGTCTGAGGGACTGATTGTCCCTCAGTCTAGGTGGGTTACTTAACTCCTGTGACCCACACTCCTGGCTGCCAAGGGCGTTGCAATGTGAAGCGAGGAAAATAGGGATCAGTCAGCTTAGTGGATACTGTGTATCCTTAATAGACAAGGTAACATTTCGTGTTAGTTTAGAATATTGTTTTGTACTGTACTTACTTGGATGGCAAAGGAAAGACCAGAAGAACTTCAAGCTATGTTTAAATTCTGTATTATTAGCAACCTCTGTTGTATATAGTGTTTGATAATAAAGTATTAATTTGATTCTTATGTCTTTTGTAAGTGAGAACAATAAATTTTCAGGATATTAAAATCACACGTTGATTACAAGACAGAGCTTTGAAGCATCAAGTGTGATCATGGCTGAGAACTGAGAGACAAGTGGCCATGACACTGCAGCATACAGGACTCATCTTTGAAAATCGTTCATCAATTGCAAGACTTCACAATGTCAAGACCTGGAACAGCATGACTTTTGATGACCAATGTTTTGTCCTCAGTGTTTAAAGGTCTGATGTTGGAGCCCTGTGGTTTCTGTGTTAGTTTTTGTTCTTTTGTATCATGTTTGTTTCTTAAAAAGGCTTTGGGGATATAACAACTCTTCTGTTATTTTGTTTCTTTCTTTTTGGTTTTTTTTTGTTTTTTTTTTCTCCTGTTTTTCTTCTGGTTTTGTTTCCATGTATAGTTTTTTCCAGAGTGGATCTTGCCAGTGTCATGTGCGATAGATGTATGTGCTTGGTTCCAAAAGAACTAGAAACAAATTTGGGAGGTACTGAGAGTAGATGAGTAGTTTATTTCCTTTCTGTATAATTGTGGAAGGAAAATGGTTGTATTTGTACCTGTTGATTCCTTACCCTAGCCCTCAAAATTGAACTTTATCCGTTGCCTTGTGAGAGCAATGGTTCAGTCACTTTCAGAAGCTTAGAGTGTTAACTCTTCCCCTCCTTTCATTACACTTGGATTTTGTAATCACCAGTTTTAATGTACAACACTTCTCTTCCCTTTTCCTGCCCTTCCTCCTCTCCCACCCTCCTCCTTTTTTAATTTGAAGCTGTGAATGGGCAGATCTGTTTCTGGTCTGGCATCACTGAGTTTTTCCCATGCATTCGCCCTCGAGCTTCTCGGATGTGAAACAAATCTCCCTACAATAGGCTTGCTGCCATTGTCTGTACAGTTTAATAGATGCTGGCATGTTGGAGGTTACCCATGAGTGCAAAATCTGCTTTCCATGCTTACTCTTGACACCCCATTGAAGACACTCATTGTGTATGCATCTGGGTATGAAAGTCCAGCTCAGTGTGGTCCTGTGCTTGTACTGCCCTGCTTTGCAGTTTCTTTGCACTTGCTCTGAGTGCTTTTTTGAAATGCTTACGTTATATGAACTAAAAGAAAATGTTTAAAAAAAAACCACAAATCACCCAAAATCCCTGCCCATAAGACCTGTATTTGTATATACACGTGTCCGTACAATTATACTTAAATAAAATTAAAGATTTTCATCATTTTACTTGGTCCTCTTAGGCTACATTTTTGTTCAATGGATTTCTTTTTTGGGGGGCACTTTTGTACCTATCTTACATATTTGCGGTCAATGGAAAGCAACTAGCAGTATGAGTGGGAAAGTGTGAGGAATGCAGTGGTCACAGGGACTGACTCTCTAGAAGTGTAACTACTAGCATCCTGGCTGGTCTAATGCCTGGCTGCTCAGCTCTCCAATTCTTTCACATTATTTTTTTTTTTTTTTTTTTTTTTTTCCTTAATGTGTCCATAGCTCCTACAAGTACTTGGGAGAGTAGGGAGCTATGTCAACCGAGTGCTGGAGCATTACATTGTTTCCATCGTCACTTTTGCCTTTCTCTAGGCCTCCTGAGCAGTATTCCTTACCCAGTATTCCCCTGGGTAACAGGTGGTTGTATGGTGTAATTCTTGCTTTTTGAGGACTAGAACCAGCCCCAGAGGCATGCAGACACGGCCCCTCTACCCAGTATGCCCTTCAGACTGTCAAAAGAGGTGGGGCTGGAAGTGGAATTGATGTCTCAGACATTTTTTGCTTTACAAAAGGGAGGAAGAGGGTTGAGAGCAGTAGGAGCCTCATGGATGGGAGAATTTTGGCAAGGGTACCTCCTAAAGGGAAGAGGAAAAATGTGGAAGCAAACAGCTACTGTTTCTCCTCATTCCTTCCATGCCTGCCCCCCAGAGTCTGATACAGTGCCTCTAAAAATGCACAGGACTGGACTTGGGTTGACTTGTATTTGACAGTGCCTGCTCCCTAATCATATCATAGGTTTCACCTTAGGATTTAAGATATAAAAGGTGAGGGGCACATACCGAAACCTGTAATACTTGCACCATGCATTCAAAACTCAGCTGTAATTACACCACGTTAGCGTTAAACTCACTGAAAGCTTTTTATTACATTTAATTAGTTGACAGGGCAGCAAGTACTAATTATAGCTTACTCTATCATTCTTTACAAATGAGGAGTGTCAGCCTGGTGAGGAGAAGGAGTCTGTGTGAATATTTGGTACAAA